TGTGTGTGTGTGTGTGTGTGTGTGTGTGTGTGTGTGTGTGTGTGTTTCTGAAGCCTCACCTGGGGGTTTTGTGCTACATAACAAACATTATTACGACATAATATGATTATGGCTTAGAAGCGTGAGGTCTTTGACTGCCATTTCTGTAATTCTTTCATTATGAGAAACAAGCTGGGAGCGATCAAAGACAACGAAAGGGTAACAGGAAATACTGCAGGAGCATTTCTTCAGTGCAAGAAACAAACAAAACCTTTTCACATCCACGGGAAAATTGTGGATGACTTCTATGTGTCCTTGCCAAGACATTTTGAACAGATTCTCTTAGCTCTGGTTTCACCGATAAACAAGAGTTAAATGTGAGAATAAAGTACAGTAAAGGAGTGACTAATGAGCACCCAGATGGACTAATGGATTCTTAGAAAATGGGTTGATGGGAAGAGATAAGTGCTATGCCTAATTACTGTATTTGTGTTACACTATGATTAAACCTTTTTACTCTCCTGTCATTTTAAGAGTCACATGACACATGAAGACCCCACTTGCTGTTTTATTCCAACAGCTGCACCTTCCCCCGAACCTCTGAAAAGGCTAACACTTGAAAGGTACTTACTTTTCGAATGTTTTATTTTTATTTTTACCTAAACAATCAATCGCTTATGCTATTAGCACTCCACTGTGTTTTACAGATGCTTCAATGTTGCTCTTCTTTCCTGACTGCATCTTTAAAATTTGACAATCATTTGAAACTAAAATTTCACTCCATAAGACACTGAACCATCTTATTAGGCAAAAACAAAACTATTTTATGCGTTTCAAACTGTGTAAACTTTATTATTTTTCATGGATTCAATAAAATAAATTTGAAAAAAAATGTTTCTGGCTGCAAGTAACAAAGTTCCTAAAGATACAATTTACATTTCGAAGGTTTCTGTTATGTGTGCACACAACAATAGTTCATCCCTTAAGTTAGGCGCCCTTTTTTGTTTGAATGACTCATAGTTGAATGTTAATCGGTTCAACAATCAAAAACATTCCTCATAAAATGGTCAGGTAGAAGGATCAGAGAAAAAGGCAGCCAATGTCTAAAGAAAAACTACTTCTCAAGACCACTGCGAAAAAAAGTTACAAGAAAAGTCTGGCTCCTTGGAAGCATAAAGAAATGAGGGTTGGCACCGTAGTTTTGCATAGTGCTTTACATACATACAGCACATGTAAATGATATAATAGACAGAAATACACATTTTTAAAAGAGGCTTCTGTGAGTGCACATATTTGTGGCCTTTTTAGCTTCTGAATGCTTTATTGGGGAAACAAAAATTAAATGGATAAACAGGGATAGATGGAGCACTGGAGGAGGAAGAAAGAAGTTAGATTGAATAATCAATTGACCACACGTGCCTACTGTTGTGCTAATTGCAGATTAATTGTTCTGCTCTGTAAAGAGGACCCAAGACACAAGTAGTTCAATATGAGTTGAAGAAACCTCCAGAAACTTTCTGTAACATAAGGAACAGAACGTTTTAAAGATGTGGAGGTGTGAAGTGATGGGAAAAACAGTGGAATGGAGTGAAAAGCAAACCAAACAAGTAACCAAGTTTAGGCAGACTGTGCTCACCTTCTTGGTTTAGACACAAAAGTTTCAGTTCCAGTGTATGAAGCCAGCCAACATATATCGGATATATTAAATTATGGTGACAATGTTGGTAATCGTCATTTTTGCACTGACAGTTACCAACGTAATTACCACACTAATGGCCACCAGGCTAATGGCTAGTGTGGTGGCCATTAGTGTAGTGGAGATGTTGGAGGCCGTTACATTTTGACACCAGTTTAATGATACATGGGCTGCATTCATTTTGTGCTTTTCTAGGTTTTCTTCTAGTCTTACTGATTACCCAGAGTGCTTCACCAGCTGTATTTCTCCGTGATTGCATTTGGAATAAAGCTCAGAGACTGAACAGGACCTCGTATGCTGCACAGTTAAATGCAGCAGTCTCTGACTCTAGGCCCTTTGCTGCATCCCTTCCCCTCACTCTCCTTTCTCCACCTCACTATACTGTCTAATAAAGGTAAAAAGGCCCACAAGAATGTGGATGAATGAAATGCACACTAGTGTACTCTCCCTTGTAAACGGCAGAAAGTCGCCAAGGGCCGCTACAGGATTGCAGGAAGAACTTTAAGATTAGCATATACTAAATACAAAAAATAGCCATTCTGCTGGTAAATGGCCTCATTCTATTCAAGCAGTCTTCAAGTCTAACTGTGGACTTTCTCCCAAAACCTACATGCGCGCAGCACCTTTTTCTGAGCCTTTATGTACTTTCTGTCACACTGACACGGATGCATCAGAGGCAATTTGGGGGTGATAGTCACACTCATTCTGAACCACAGCTGCATCACTCTCATTTTCAGGTTTGTGTGTTTTTGCTCATAAACCAAAGATCACAAATATCCAAAAATTCTAATCATGGGCAAGAAAAAAAGAAAATCTGAAAATCTGTGAAACAAGAAAATCTGTGTCAAACACTGTCAAATATTTTCATTTCATTCTTTTAATAACCCTTTAACAGCTTAGATCAGGTCTTCTTGGGTCAGTCTGGGAGATGTAAGATGTGTGATTCACCAGGAAGATTATCTTTCTTTCATGAGCACATTAGCAAATTCTGTGTTTTCCATATTGTAATACTCTAGTAGAAAAATATGTTGTGGTTATTGTGATACAAAAGCATGTGAGCGTGAAGCTCTGAGTGTCATCGTTATTCTCCTCTAGCCTCAGTTTGAGTGTATTGTTTCCCACTTGAAGCTTAGCCTGTTCCCTTGGTAACCATACTGCTAACCATCACTGCCCCTGTACTTACCGGCCAGGCGTACTGGAAAGGAATGACAATGTGTCCATTACTCCCGTCCTCTCCTCCTCCCCCCCTGTCGTGTCCTCTGTGGTGGAACAACTGGGAGTTTCCACCCAGGACACCCGTACTGCCGGTACCAAAGGTGCAGGCTCCAGTTGGGGCGACCCGGGCCTGGTACTCCTTGAGGCAGGCCTGGAAGAAAGTGTCACACTGGTCCCTGGCAGAGCAGTGCTGTGCTCCGCTGGCCTGGAGATCACAGCATTCTCCTGTTTGCAGACGTCCATGTGGGTTCTGAAAGTGTCGGATCTGAAGCTCAAACATCCCAACCGCACAGACAGCCTGAATCCAGAGAGAGCAGAGAGGAGAGCAAAGGAGAGAATTGCATTAATATATTATCAAACTTGCACAGTTAAGGCCATTCTCACCCACTGTAGTGATGGAAGATCACCAAGTAAGGACAGGTGATTTACATTTACAGGCCATTTTAGGTTGTGTAAAAATTCACGTCATTGCTGTGTCTTGCTTCAAGTTCTACTTAAAAATGTCTCATTAGGACAGGAAGTGAAATAAGGTAATTGCAAAAGCTTTTAAGTTATAAGAGGAGTTGTTTTATCTTTTTATCATTTATAAAATCAAACAATGTTTAAATTACAGTTGGTGCAAAGTTAGAAACCAATTAATCTTAAAAAATGGACCGCAGGCCTTTCCAGAAACATACAAGAGAAGCCTCTGATGAGCTGTAACATTAGAGACGTTATAAGAGAGAGACAGGGCAATCAAAGAAACCTTCATTGAAATCTATGGGAGAACTCTGCCTCGGGAAAGATGGTGGTGCAAGTTTAACATCCAGGGGAAAAAGCTCATTTCAGCTGAATGTCAGTAAACCTTTCAGATGTTAGGTTTTAGATTTTACTGCTGATTAAATGCATCCAGTTTTATGTCTCAGTGATCAATGATTTACCATACATAGCACTTTAAAATACCTGCCCAAATAAATGCACTAAGGTGTCTGAAGATGGCTGCTGAATGCTGAGGTTTCTGGTTACTGAAAAACTAAGTGCACGAAAGTTAAGACTTCTTATCCTACAGAAAAGGATTTAACAGGATTTCACAATTATTCGTGTCTAAAAAGTGTTATGTGTTTTCTTAAAATCCTAGACTGAACCTAGACTTGTAGACAAAAACAGGTAGCCTACTTTACTGACACTATCTCCTTAGCAATGACAAACAGAGATTACCTTGGACAACTAAAAATATTGTCCTTTTTTCTTGTTTAAAATGTTTGTCATATACATATTTATATATACCTTAAAGTTATCTTAATTGGCTTTCTACAATATTTCAGGCAACTTGCAAATAGTTTCATTGACATTATCATTGTTTGTATTGTTCTAATCAATATTTATTAAAAATTACTCTTGATTTGGGCCATTTTGTTCATCCACGGTATTGAAAATGGTAATAACTATCAAGCATTTTCCTGGGTATCAGTCTAAAATTTGTAATTCCATTATCATGACAGCCTTAGTGCAGACGATAGAGTGAAATATCAATTTACCCACATAATACGAAAAAGCAAATGCAAGTGTATTTCACAGAATGTCAAACTATTCCTCTGGAATATTTAATATTTATAAAGACTCGCTTTAAGAGCTAGAATATTTCTGAAACTGAACAATTACCCTCACACAAATAACCAGCTTCACCAGATGTTTCTATGTCTGCCCTCCCTTTATTGCAGAATTCAATCACTTCCACTGACAGTTCAGCTGAGCAGACTTTTTTTTTACAGTGAGATTTTTCATGTTAAAGTTTATTATGTGATTCCAGCAGTTTATAACATATAAGAAAAAGAAGTCCTTCTCCCTGTCAGTCACTTGAGCTTGATTTATGCATTTCATCCACAGTTATTTAATAGTTTAGATATTAATTTACATGATAGAGGTTGACTAACTCAAACACCATCATATAGTTAAAATAAACAAAAATGCGCAATGAAACTTTGAGAGACGACTATCGTGTTTCCTCTAATGTACTGTCTCAGTGCCTCTGGGAATCAGCAGCGGCCTGCATGTCTCCTCTCCACCATCTGTTTATCAGTACGTACAAGACAACAGCGTTCAAAAAGCAAGCAACAGAGAGAGAAAAGGGGGGAAGAAGACATGATGACATAACTTTGATTCCCATAACTTTGTTTGACCTCTAGTGAAGAGAAAAACAGACATTTCCATTTACAACCAATGTCTCCCAAAAAGTTGGAACGCTGTGTAGAATATAAATACTAGAACATGGTAGTTTAAAAATGATTAAAAACCTATATTTGAATGAAAATAATCCAAAGACAACAAGTAAAATTATGTAACTGGGAAAAAATATTGAAACTAAGAATAAAAGTTAGAATGGGGGGGGGGGGGGATACAAAAAGAAAAGGATGAAACAGACCTGGTAGAACATTTCATAATTAGACAACAAGTAACATGACTGGGTATTAAAAGAGCATTTATGAGAGGCTCGGGGTTTTAGGAGTAAAGCTTAATTTTTTTAATATAAATAACTTCATGGGCTTAGAAACATATGTTAAAGCCCTTGAATTGGCCTTAACAAGCAGAGGGAACAAAGTAGCAACATATAAATAAGATCAAAAAAACGTTGCCACCTTCGCTCAGTGAAAAATGTTGTCCTCCAAGCTGAAGAAAAGAGCAACCATCAAGTTCCTTATCAGGACAAATTTTAAAAGCCAGCATCAGTGATGACATGGGGGTGCATAAATGCACATTAGTGAAGGTACCATTAATACTGAATATGCAGATTTAGGAGAAACATATACAGCTGCAGATAATATCATTTTTTCCTCAGCAGGTTTTCTTTTTTCTGCAAGACAGACTAAATTCAGAAAGCATTTAAGAGCATGGTTTTGTCGTAAAAGTGAGATTAAGTCACCTGCCTGAATTCCAGATCTGGTACCCAGGAAAACATTTAGCAGATTATGAAATAGAAAAATATCTCTGTCCCCATAAAAATTCAAAAAAATGATCTCAAGCGCTGGTGAGATCACTCATTGGATTCCAAAGTCCCATCTTAAAAGTTCAAGCTGAGCATTGGGTGACCGTGGCTCAGGGGGTTGGGAAGTGCATCTGTAACCGGAAGGTCGCCGGTTTGATTCCTGGGCTCTCTGTCCTGGTCGTTGTGTCCTTGGGCAAGGCACTTTACCCTACCGCCTACTGGTGTTGGCCAGAGGGGCCGATGGCGCGATATGGCAGCCTCGCTTCTGTCAGTCTGCCCCAGGGCAGCTGTGGCTACAACTGTAGCTGCCTCCACCAGTGAGTGAATAGTGGCATTGTAAAGCGTTTTGGGTGCCTTGAAGAGCGCTATATAAATCCAATCCATCATCATCATCATTTTGTCCATCGCTGTCTTGGTGCCTTTAGAAATTCAACTCAACAAGCAGGTGGTGGATCTGACTGAGAATCCAAAGGACATGCTCATACAGTAGCGATTTTTAAATCCAAGGTACACCCACCCTACAGCAGACCTTGCTTTACACTCCTTTTGGACTCCATTAAGTTCATAATTTACAAAATGAACACCATGTTGCATTAAATAAGACTAAAAACTCATCAGGAAAGTGTTTTACTGAGGTTACAGATAAAGGGAGCTGATAGGCTGTTTTCTATACAACCAGGCTTCTTTTTGCACCCACAGAAGTCGCCCCCTGTTAGACATTACAAAAACTGCAGTTTTATGGCTTATCGTTTAAAACGACCGTGGTTCAGGTGGTTGGGAAGCTCATCTGTAACCGGAAGGTTGCCGGTTCGATCCCCCAGCTCTCTCTGTCCTGGTCGTTGTGTCCTTGGGCAAGGCACTTTACCCTACCGCCTACTGGTGTTGGCCAGAGGGGCCGATGGCGCGATATGGCAGCCTCGCTTCTGTCAGTCTGCCCCAGGGCAGCTGTGGCTACAACTGTGGTTTGCCTGCATCAGTGAGTGAATGAATAGTGGAATTGTAAAGCGCTTTGGGTGCCTAGAAAAGCGCTATATAAATGCAATCCATTATTAAAAGTCAGAGGCTACACCCATCTTTCATATACAGTCTATGTTAACTATGTTAAAACTACAGAAACTGATGTCCTCAGTTCTCAGATTCTTACAGTGTGAAGATGAAAGAATAAATGATCATTCTGCGTCATTGCACCATGTTTTTATTTACGTTTCTCACAGCGTGCCAGCTTTTGGGGGAACAGAGATGTTCCCTAAATTATCGAGGGATTAAACAGCACTAGCTTTTATCTTTGGACTCGCCTTTCTTTGGCTCTTGTCTTTCTTTCTTTAGTCTTCCTGTGTGTCACCACCACTCCCTTCTTATTTCTCACTTCCCCATCCCAGGGGGCAATGACACTGGGATCCTGCTCACACGCTTCTTCTCCCCTCCTCCTCCACTTCACTTGTTTCTCTAGCTGAGAACAAGCTTTGACGCTCCTGTCATTTCTCTTTCTGCAGCCATCAGCCATTTTCTACATTGTTCCCATCCTCACTTTTATCTGCCTCCTTTTCTCTTGTCTGTGTTCCCTCCCTGTTTAGGGATGGGTTAAGAGGGGACACACACACACAAACCGCACAGCCTCTCTCACACACTCTAGACTTAACAAGACCCCCTGAGAGTCTCAGAGCACAAGGGTCAGGTATGTGCGTGTGTGCATTTGTGTGTGTGTCTGTGTGTGTATGTGAGTGTGTGTATGTGATCCTCTCTGTGGTTTTGGCTTTATCCAACAACAGCAAACACCAAAATAAGGCCACTGTTATATCAGTTTGTGCTTAAACCCTCACTGATGAATAAATGTAAATAATTCACATTATTTTTTGGCTTTCTATCTGAAACAATGAGCTGGTGACACCTCATTACAGCCGAGGATCTAAGCCGTGTATTCCCAGAGGTGTGGTGCATTCAATCATGGACAGCTATCACCGAGACCTGGAAACTCTCATATGTCTGCTTAGCCAGAGCCAGGCCGTCCAACGCTGAGCCACAGTCTCAGTCGCCCCATTGTTACTGGGTTTTGTGTCCCTTGCCTGCACCCTGTCCCAGAGCTGAAAGGGGTGAGATGGGAGGGGTCGCAGGGTGATGGTGGTGGTGGTGGAGGGAGGTGGGGTGAACTTGTCTACATCAAAAGGCTTGTGGAGATACAGTGGCGCTCATCACTCTGCATCCTCCTTTCTTCCTCTCCTCCACTCACTGCCTAAGCCATTCCCTGCATACCAGCATTTCAGCGCTCAGAGGGAGAGAGGGAGAAGGGGAAACAGAGAGAGAGTGAGCCAAGCCGAAGCTCAGCCCGTCTCTGAAACTGAGCTTCGTCAGTTTAAAGCTCTCTAAGGGGCAAAACTCACAATCCTCTGTACCTAAAGACATTCAAGCCTCGGAAAATGATCTGTTGACTTTTCTACTGTCATGGAACAAATGCTACTATTCGACGAACTCCACAGAGCTCGCTGTGAGCCATTTAAGCGAGACTTTCTTTGTACTCGAGGCCAACAAGTTTCTTCGGAAAGGCATCATTGATTTCAAGCATATTTCTGTGGCACTTTAAATGCCACTGTGAAACTGCATCGGATATTTTATGAACTGATTATTTAACGAGCCTTGCATTTTTGGCAACCCTATTCATAACAAGCAGTCTATGATTGATTCCTTTGTCTTATGAGATTGTGATATCTTTGATTTCCCAGTTACTGTCCAGACAAAATAGGGTATTTGAAGATGTATGGTGTTGTGTGAGAGGCATTTTAACTATTTGTTGATAACTGCAGTCTCTTACTGTCACAGTATTGCGGTTAAGTCACGGTCAGGATCTTCAATCACACTGAAATTCTGTCTGGGTGGATGCTTCAAGCATTGTGCGGATGATACATTTCTAAGTGTTTGTTTATTTAAATGTCGAAATCCTCTTGTCGCTGATTCACTTTATGAACTGCATTTTGCTCAGCATTCAAACAGAAATGATGTGCACATAAATTTCATCCAATCTCATTTTAAAATTCAGCTTCAGTTTGAAAATGGCAGTCTAATTTAGCGAAACATAAATGCTTTGCGTGCTGTAGTGTGAGCGTGGCACAATAGACAACACATAAGGACCGCTGGAGTGTCAAGAAGCCTCATTTATGAACTGCAGGTTGAAACATCCCCCGTCCTCTGCATTATAAATGGGCACCAGCAGATGCAAAGGATCTTGAGTGTGTGCTTCACACTGCAGTGCAGTCGGAGAATGGAGAGAGCAGGGTGTGTTGTTCCTCAGCTGTGAAAGGGTTGCAGAGGTACAGAGAGGCACGCAGAGCTGCCTGAATGTTCAACATTCACACGCCCCGGAGTCTATGAGGCTGTGGCCCCGGGCTCCACACACACCCAGGACACAGATGCTGGATGTGAGCTCAGTGTTTAAAAAACGTGCACTCACGTGTGTGCACACATGCACGCTTCGGAGCACCCCCGGGCCTGGTCTTGCTACTGGTGAGCGCTGTCACACATCAGACACATTGTGACAAGACCAGCAGCTGCCTGAGAGCTCATGGGGGAAAAGGGGAACAATATTTTGCTTGTTTATGCTTTCATGCCCAAAACAACACCGGAATAAAATCCAGAGCTTTAATACAGCCACAAATTGTCCTCATAATGTTATAACCACCTTCTCAGAAGTATTTACGCAGTCATTAATGAACTTTGCTGTTATGCCAAAAAGAAAGCGTGCATGCATGCAGCCATGCAGACAGAGAGAAAATAAGACAATCAGACCACACCTGAGAATGGTTACTAATATATGAAATGGACAAAGCAGCAACCAAAGAGCCTAAAAGGAAAGATGTTTTCACTCATTTACTGATCCGTGAATAAGGAAAATACCTTAACAGGGGTGCGGTGTGAAATTTGGGTGTAATTTATGCGCAATTAATGATCGAGGAGATACCAAAGTGAATGAAAAGGGATTAAGAATCATTATTTAGCAGAAAATGATGGAATAAATCACATTCATCGACTACATGTCACTAATGTGATTGATTTGCGTTATCATGACATGTCTTTGTTTGGCAAACAGTGGCACACTGACTCTTTTTCATTCAAGAAAAAAATATATATGTGATTTTTACCGTCTGTCGCAAAGGCGGATTTTTGTTCTGATATTTGCATCCAGCGCTTCTACAATTGGATTACAGTCGTTCTCTGTTGTGTGGGATAATACACCAGCGGGCTGAAACAACAGGTGGGCACAGCGCCATGCAGGAGCAGAAAGAGGGCAGCATAAAGGGACACTGTGCGTGGACTTTATTCCTGAGTATTTTTCTCTCAGCTTTCATTTAAAAAACAGACAGAACCACAGTTGCGAGTCAGCGTGGGGCGTTTAAGTGCATGCAGCCCGAAATAGCACTTAATCGGTGGCTTACCTGCGTTTGCACCGTGAGCGCGACGAAAAAAATCACAGTCCGCGGCAGGTGGAAGTGTCCCTGGTGTCGCCCGGCTCTCATGTCTGGCTTCCCGTTGAGCTTTTCACCTCTGCTCCTCAGATTCTTCCGAGTTATCCCGTGCACCCGTGAGCTCTCCATCCCTGCATCAAGGGACTGGGGACCGTGCTGTGCGCTTTGGTGGCGGTGGTGTCCCCCCTCCTCCTACTCCTCTCTTCCAGTGTCCTCCGTCCGCCCAGCTCTCCTCTTCCTCGCCGGTCTTAAACCCTGAAACTCCCGCAAAGCCACTTCATCGCGTCCAGACCGGAGAAACCATAACTCTGTCTCAGCTTGGATCTCTCCCTGCAATCAACCCACCTACACACGCTCGCGCGCACACCTGATCAACCCCTCCCTTGCTGCTGTGACCAAGGCAGGTTTCCTCTGGGAATGACACATGCACACAAACGCACGCTTCTCACAAACACACACTCCCCTTGGTGTATTCCTCCCACCACCACCTGCCTTAAGAGGCTTTACGGGTCCAATCTGCCGGCTCACTTGACTTGAACTCACATCCCAATTAGCTGATACTCTCTCTTCATCTCCTGTCTCTCTCAAAGCTTAATCCACTCTCAGAGATAATATGGAGAGGGGACAATCGTATGAATCCTATTTCTTGATGAGTGTGTGACCAAAGCAGCGACCAAAGTTGCTTCTCCCCGGCGGAATGATTTCACTTTTGTGTTCTTGTCATTGGAGCGGCTGGCTGGTCATTTGTAAACCCGATACGAAGGCTGGCGGCCACGGAGTCACTGTGGGAAACAATGAGAGGGAGAGAGAGAGCATGAGGGTGTGTCCTGGGGCAGGGAATATCCGTCTTTCACTCCTTGTCCGGATGGTTCCCAGAGCGCACGGGGCTCTCATCCCCTTTTCTCTCTCTACACACTTTGACCAACATTGTTTTTTTTTTCAATACCATATTTACGTGTGAGAGTATTCTGAATGCTTTTCGCATCTCTTTTATCCTCTCCTGAGTGTTCTGTTTCCCCTCTGTCCTTTGTTGTGCCTCACTGGTTCCTCTCCTCCAGTTTCAAACCTCTGCAGTCCACGGAACACTTCAAAGCTCAGCTTGGCAGAACTGTTCTCACAGTTCTGCTCAGACCTGTGAATAGAAATGATTTGTCCTTCAAGCTTAATTAAAACACCCGTGCTGTTGCGGATGATGTACTAAAAGTTGTTTACAAAAGACAAACAGACTTTCACGCCTGCAGGAAAGGTGTGAAGCGGCTTCTGCTGGTCAGGACGCACAGGGCAAAAGTGCTTACGCGGTTCTCACCCACCTGCAGACTGATTTCTTATGGCACGTTATAATTGAACCCACTTTTATGATTGAACTTGTTTCGACAGCTGCGGCTCTGAAAAGTGTTAATGTGCTTAATGGAGCCGCCGGGTTGCAAATACTAACCGGCTGAGCGCATAAATATAAAAGAGAACTGTAGGGTGTGTAGGCATCTTTTGAATATTGGCAGCGGTCACATGGCACACATATTTTCCATATCTCCTCCAGTCCTCTAGTTCTCGTCTTGTTGGACCCAAGACCTCCACACAATGCACCTTCTTTATCACAGAAAATCTAATGAGATTCTCCCTCCTCCCCTTCTCAATCTTAAAGTCTATCACGGGCTTGTTGCTCAAGAGCTTCCCTGACAACCGCTGGTGTTTCCGCGGCTTGGCGCTCCGCGTTGACCCCGGAGCGGAACAGAGGGCTCTTGAGGAGCAGAGGCTTAATTTGCATGGGGGAAGCAGTGACCTCGAAGCACGAGCTGAATTCTAACCAAGCATCCGGAAACACACGTGCATCACTGGGTCTGCGCAGAGGTTGCAGCGTGTGGCTCACCTGAAGAAGAAGAGTCACAAAAAAAGTAATCCTTTCACTTGCTTTCTTGGTGCCTACATAACGGATATGCAGTTAGTTGTGCATTTAGCTCCATCTAATGGTCAATACGCGTTTTATTGCGCAGGATTTGAAAAGGCAGATTTATTTATTTATTTTAACACTATTTAAACTGCCGTGAAAACATTGGCTCATTTCAAATTAGGATAAAAAACACATTTAGGAGTTATTTAATCAAAATGTAATACTAATAAATAATGCATATAGATAAGTAACCTGCTTCCTCGGGGCCTTTAGAATGAGCTTAGATCAGATTTGATTTCCACATGTCTAATTTTTTTTTTTAATGTTTCATCCACTTCAAACAAATAATGGACCATACAGAGAAAATAAGCATAAAAACAGAACATTAGCTATAAAATATCCACTAACCTCTATCTAACTGAATTTCTGTTATTTACTTAACTAAAACCAAAAACACATTAAATTAAAGAACTCAAAAAATACAAGAACTTTCATTTTTCCACTCAGAAATCAAATTTTCTTTCCTCCACTATGCAGGATTATGCAAATTCAATATCATCAGTTCATCTTATGATGCATGTGACCGTCCTTTCTTTACTTCCCATGTTTTCTGTTTACACTACAAACTGTGAAATAGAGGTAAAACTATTAAAGTGAAACCGAAGTTTTATCCTCTAAACTTGGGATGCTTCTCTTTAACTGAAGGTAGCCTACATATCTGAAGGTTTAGGAAGTTTAGTTACACAGTATGAATTTTTTGCAGGTGAATTTGGAGGATAAAAATTCAGTGTTATAAATTCAATGTCTAAAAATAGTTGAATTCTGATGATACTATATTTCTTCCATACTTTGCAAACTAAAAATACTTAAGAGATGATTTATAAAATTTATTTATTTTTTAAGTGGTTCTGACAGGAACAGCTTCCACGCATAAGCTGCTGGATAAGTATAAGCTGCCTTTCAGTCTCTGAAAGATTACTGTGTTGGTGAATGGGAAGGCACTGGGCATGTTGCCAAACATGGCCCACCCCCCCCCCCCCACACACACACACACACACACACGGCGCCCTGGTGACTGAGGTCAGTGCTTTCTCAAGGCAAAATAAGGGAGTGTGGAAAGGCTTGGGAAACTGCAGAAGAATGTGGATTTCTGTGTACACCGTTGAGCTGACCTGAAGACAATTACTCAGGGCACATAACAGGGAGGCCCTGTGTACACCGGGCACAGCTGATAGTGAGAGTCTAAATTAAGCCTTTCAGGCCTAATTCACACGTCACTCTGTCTGAATCTAGTCTGTGAGAGGAGGACGTGCTCCTTATTAGCATGTCTGCAAACATATCGTGTGAAGGCTGAGAGGAAGATAGACAATAAGAATTTACTGAGACAATAATTCATATTGTCCATGATTCTGAGCTACTTTTGTTTACCCACCTAATTTTATGTTACTTACAGAACATTGCAGAAAAACCTTTTTTGCACTTACATGACAACATTTTAAACTTAAATGAAAATATACACTCATCCATCCCTTCATTAAATACAATAATGCACATATTCAATCATCCAATCACATGGCAGTAAGCCACTGCATTCAGGCATGTAGACATGGTCAGAACAACCTGCTGAAGTTCAAACAGAAAATCTGAAGGAGGAAGAAAGGTGAATTAAGTGACTCTGGGTGTGTCACTGTGGCCGGTAGATAGGCTGGTTTGAGTATTACAGAAACTGCTGATCTTCTGGGATGTTGCCTCACAAACATTTCATTTCATTCACCCACATCAACTTTTTAGTATTCAGAGAATAGTCAGATGAATTTGGAGTAAATATAATATGAACCATGCATCTTTCCTGCCTCGTATGATGAGTTTGATTGTGATGGTGTAACGGTGTGGGGGTTATTTTGTTATCATGCTTTGGGCCCCATAGTACCAACTGAGCATGGTTTAAACACCACACCCTGCTTGAGCATTGTTGCTGACCATGTCCATCCCTCTATGACCAGTGTACACATCTTCTTCCAGCAGGATAGCACGCCATGTCACAAAAACTCAAATCATCTCAAACTTGAACATGAACTTGAACATGAGTGACTTCACTGCTCTCAAATGGTCTCCAGTCACCAGATCTCAATCCAATAGAGGGCCTTTGGGATGTGATGAACCAGGAGAGTCGCAAATGTGTGATGCTACATGGAAAAATCTGTCAGTAATGTTCCCGGCACCTTGTTGAATGCATAGCATGAATGGATAGATACTAGCAAGGTGTACCTAACAGTACCCAGTATAGAGTTTATCCAGTTATCACTACTGAACAACCTAAAACTTCAGGTCCACCTACCCTTTGTTTTTTGAAATGCTAGAAATTGCATAAACTAGGTTCAATGATAAATCAAATCGCCGTAAAATATCTACACAGCTGTATGGAGGCCCATTTTCAGCAACAAGCCTTCCTGTTTTAATGTTATGCTGTGACTTAATGCACAATTTTCATCCAAAATTTTTTTTAGTAGAGTAGAAAACAAAATATTCACGCAAGTGTCCAGAGAATCAAATGTCTGTTTTCATGTTTGCTTCATAATACAATGATCCTCTAAAAATAATATCTTTGTTCTGAAATGCAGCAGAACCCTTTTTCTACAAAAGCTGCCCTCACATCTGTGACAGGTATGTACTACTGGCTCGAACACAAAAACAATTATACTGCGGTTTGAGAAGCACATTCACACATCTTCAATTAGCAGCTTCATTATCTCATTTCAACAACACCAGTCTCAACACGAACACTGCAGTTTTGGAGGCGTAATAGCGTGCGAGCATTTGTTGGGGGAGCAGATGACGAAACGCTGCAACAATGCAACACCAGCCATCCATTAAATAATATACCAATGATTAATGCCAAATACAGGGAGAGAAAGTGGCTTCAGAGATCTAGGTTCTACTTCAAAGCACAAACTAAATGAGATTCCAGTGCATTTATTTTACAAGTAGGATGGCTACGGTGAATTATATGGAGTCCCATAAAGTTTCCATGCTTTGTAATAATCAGAAGACTCCAAAGAACTAAATTTTCTGCAGATGCAGTCTAAATTCAGACTGCAGCACACAGCATTGGTATTCTAAAAACAAAAAACAAACAAACAAACAAACAGGGTTTTCTCAATGCTGGTTTCTCCTTCTACATGTTGTGCAGCTGAAGTTGTTTAAACATGAGATCCTTTTGACTACAGGGACTTGAGAGAAAATGTTTAACACAAGAGGTGAGAAAGCATCGCCTATTGGCGGAAAGCTCAAACTGCAGCTTAAATGAAGAGCAGCACATTCTTAGAACAGTTTTATTTATAAAAAGAAAAAGAAAAGCTCCAGGTACAATGTCTGGTAAACCAGACTCTGGGTGCAATGCTTTATGACAAATATAGAAGACATATCAAGCTGCTTGTGGATTTTGATGTAAAGCTAAAAAAAAAAAAAAAAAAAAAAAAAAAGACACCAGCTTGACACATACTTACGTGCAACCCTGAAAGTCAATTTCTAAGAATAAATCACAGTCAGATTTACTGCAAGTTTAAAAAAACAAAGACCACCCTTCCTGAGAGCTTATTTCTTAGCGAATGAAATCTTCATTGCATTCGTCTGTGTGATCTTGAAGCCTTGTAGTGCATCTCGTGCAGCTCCGGCCTGCACCTCGTTCTCAAACTCCACAAATGCGATGTCGTGGCGTCCGGGGACCAGACGCACCTCTTTGAAACCTGGGAACCTAAAACGCACACACCAACAGTTAGGCTCAGCCTATAACAGACACAAGCGTGCAAAACTAGATCTAGAGAATGGGTTTGCTACTGACTGGTTGAAGAGCATGGACAGCATGAGCTCGTTGGTCTCCTCCGGCAAGTTGGTGAGGAAGAGGATGTGATTGGGGGGATTTTCTGCAACCTACGAGTACACATTGGATATCAGAATCAATCAACCAGAAAAATATCAATTTATTAAATTAAATGAAGACACAACATGCTCTGTGACAAAACACTACCTGCTGGGGCATTTGTCCAGGCATCTGCCCAGGCATCATCTGACCAGGAGGAATGGCACCAGGGGGCATCTGGCCAGGCGCCATCCCTGGAGGTGGCATCATGCCTGGAGGGGGCATGTAAGGTGGCTGGCCAGGCATGTGCATCATACGGGGAGCCTGGCTCATTGGAGGCATTCCCTAAAGAGTGAAGAGCTTGTTAATAGAAAACCCGATGTCCATTTTCCTCTTCTGAGTTGTGTGTGCTACTATTTACATTTGTCAATGAAAATAGGGTCAGTTTTCAATCACACAAACTGTTCTAGATGCAGGAGAAACTTTCTCCCTTTGCTTTTGTTTCCTTATTTATTAATATTGTTCCTAAAATGTTAATCCCAATTCAGTATCATGTTTTTTGTTCTGCAACTTGAGCTGAAAACATGTTTTAGCCATAAGAACAACTTCATTGATAACAAAAGGAAATTCATATGTTTGACACAGCTCATCTGCCATTTGTAGAGAATGATTTTCTGTATCTATATATCGAAGTCTGCTGTATGCAATGTAGAAAGCCATGGACCCAGGACAGTCCCCTGTGGAGCCCCCATGTTGCTCATTAATGTCTCAGAAACACACCAGACAAACTGTGGCCTTTCTTTAGGGTATTCTGTGATCCAGGAAACAGTAGGAATCTACTATAAAACATCTACTCTATAGAACAAAATAACCAAGAATTTTCCAA